TACCCCATAGTGAAACCGGAGGCCATGCATGTGTAGGTATTGGGGCCTGGGGTCACACGGCTCAAAAGCAGCTGGCTGGAAATGTGGAAGGTACAGACAGAGAGGGCAGATCCCGTGCTGCCTGCTGCCCAGGCCGGGAGGCTTTCTCCCAGGGCTCTCCCAGGTCAAGGCCAGGGTCCTCCAGCAGCATTTGGAGGAGGCAGGAAATCCACCAGGCAGCAACTTCCCTGCTTGGTCCTGCTCATTTTATCTGGGGGCAAAGGGGAGACACCATGGACAGAAGACTCCCAAAGACCCTATCATTTTCCCCAAGCCCAGGACCCCAGACTTCCCTTTCCCACAGGCCTTGAAAAAGTCAGAAAACAAAAGACCGAAAAACGTCTAGATGCAGGAGTGAGACACGGGTCATGAATATGGTAAGTGGCCTTGTTAGAATTTGCTGATTGATTGATTATAGACTCACTAATCTCCTGGTTCTGAATTTACCTGAAGAATACGTGAAAACGAGTGTAGCCGAGTCAAATATTATAGGACACTGACTAACTTGTTTTCTTTAAAGTGACTTCCCCCGTCATGTTGGGCTTTAAAGTCTGCATGAATATTTCATATATAGCCCATGCATTTAATATTTTAACAATTTTATATCATATCTACCGTACTTTAGTACCTGACTTGTATATTTATGTGACTATTGTTAGAAGTGACTAATTGGGTTTGATTAGCTCCATCATTAATATTCTGTCCATAATTTAACATGCTTCAATAAAATACCCTAAAGCAGTGTAATGATTAGATTTCAGGAATATGTGTTTTGCAATTAAGTTCCTCTTGATTTTAATATGCAGATGAAGAAATGGTGGTCTCATTTAAAAAAAAAACTGCCCTTATTAACTCAGCAGTATACTCTGAAGATTAGGTAAGAAATCCGAGATTTTCTCTTTGTATATGCGAGTTAAAATGTATTTCAATCAAGCCTATGTGGGCAAATCAGATTTGATTAGTTTAAGTTCACAGTCATTCTATCTAAATGAATAATGTGTCACCTAACATTGCAAAAATTTGATTAATAGTTTATCAGTTAATTAAAAACGGAGTTTAATTTTTCTTTTTTAGGAAAATGCAAGGTAGATATTCCTTGTGTTCATCATAAATGCAAATTATTTCAGTTTGAATCTATTGTTTCTTTTTTTGCTTCTTCACCAACTGGCAAGAAAAATCAAACTTCTAGAAACATCTCTGGAAGAAAGCAGGAACACAACTTTCTCTGCTCCCACGGCCAGAAGGGTGGCCTGCTTGGCGCTGGGGAGGGGCGGGGGTTCTCCTATGCCTGAGCTGCTGATGGCATCACCCCCTCCCCTCAACCTCCTCTCCCACCCTCCCCTCTCCTGCAGCCTTTGACTTCCCCCAATGACAACTTTGTCAGCTTGTTCAGTTTCTTTTGTCTGTGGGACAGGGGATAGGAGTCAAAGGGCTTCTTCCCCCAGGAACCTCAGGCTAGGCATTGGAGCTCAGTGGGATGGCACAGCATCCTCTTGGGGTGATCCACACCCAGCAAGCGGTCAGAGTACCAGCATGAAGCACCAGGGCACCTCGAGCTCATCATTTAAAGGCAGCTGAATGGCTGATCATCGAGACAAGAGATGGTCCTTCCTGGGCCTGTGAGGCGGGTGTCATTGTGAGACTAGGAAGAGCAGGGGACCATTACAGAGTGCCTGAGTGAGCAGACACTGCTGAGGGCAGCTCCATCTCCACGGGGCTTTTGCGACACAGTGCAGACTGGCTCCCGTCCATCCTAAGGACTATTTTACCCACCAACTTCTGCTTGCTCTGATTGAAAGCTGTTCGTGAACTCCTGGCTCTCCTACCTGTCCTCCCACAAGCCGAGCAGGGTCATTTGGGCAGAGCTCATCCCCAGGCAGAGCGTGCCAGCCACACGCATGGTTGCACATAAGGGAAAGGAACACAGGCAGGGCATCCTGGGGCCTCCCGCCATGCTCTCTCCTTTCCCTGGGTGGCACAGACAGTGAAGCCCTTTACTGCTCACTGAACTCCCTCAGGGGCACCTCAGAAGAAAGATTGATAATCTGCTTCAGAGGGAACCCCTTAGGGTTGGCACAATGGCCAAATAATGGCCTCAGAGATGTGAGCGAGGGTGAGGCAGAGACAGCACTGGACCATGTTTTGTTTTGTTGCACATGAGGTTGCCACGCATCAACCTCAATCAAGGGTGGCCATCTCTCTACTCTCCTAACCGCATCCTTCGCTGTGGTGTGACCTGCTTGCCAAGAGCCAATCTCATCTAAGACAAGTCCAGGTGCCATGGTATAGACAATGTCAGCCTTGACCATGGCCCTCCGTTCAGGAGGACTTACAGTCCAGAAGCAGCAGACAACACTAGGTGATTACAGATGAGATTGGCTTTAGCCTGTGTGGTCAGTGAGGGCTTCTCAGAGGAGGCATGCTGCAATGAACTACCTAATCTGGCCCTTCTTCCAGAGCCCCCATGAGTCCTACGCAGTGACTGAGCTGAACTACGCAAATAGTTCACTGGGATCACACAGCTTGAACTACCACAGGGATCACACAGCTTGTTGCTAATGCTCATACGATGTACGGAACACTGACGGCACCACAAAGAACTGCTGGTGCCCAGCGTTGCCGTCCCTTTAGGCTTCAAAGAAAGCCAGTCCCAGAGCAGAGAGGGACGTCACTGCCGCCAAGAAGAAGACATAGAAGTGAACAATGAGAAACCGCAGCAGAGAAATGGCATCAGCAGAACCAGGGCACCAGCATGAGATGGCACCACGGGCTTCCTGGCCACAGAGCAAGGTGGTTACCGTGATGCCCTGGCTCAGCGCAAAAGAGCAGACAGCCTTCAAGCAGGAGGCTTCTCGGTGAAGTGGGGCACCTTTGGGCACTCGGGGGAACTGGGGTGTTACAAACACTTGTTCAAGCCAGGGCAGAGGTCAAAAGGGGAGCTGAGACGCTGAAGACCCCCCAGAGAGAAACCAGCCTGGCTGAGAAGAGACCGTCTGGACCAATATCATGCCTGATCTTAAATTGTAGCCCATTATTTCCCTAGTAAGCTTCATAACGATGAGTACCGTCTGTGAGTCCTGGTGGCCATTGCAGGGAGCCATGGGTCGCAGCAGAGAAGTAGATCGTGTCATGGGAGGGACAGTTGGCATCAAAATTGGCACAAAAGACAAACTGGAGACAGGAGGTTAATCTGACCTCTGCTTCCTAGGAATCCGCTCTGGGCTGATGCTGAAGGTGAGTCTGCCCCTTGAGAAAGTAGAGGAGATCAGCTGCCTGCCCCGTGTCATCTTTTACAAGAGGTAACGCTGACCCCAGGCCTGAGGGATGAAGTAAGATCTGGAGGAAGGACATTGCAGCTTAAAGAAGAGCAAGGGCCAACACTCCGAAGTTGTGTTTGATGTGTGATAATCAGGAGAAAGTCTCCATGGCTGGAGCAGAGGAGCAAAAGAGCCCAGGGGAGGTGACCTGGACGGCAGGTAGGGCCCTGGTCATGAAGGCCTGTGGCCGAGCTCCCAACCCTACCTGTACTTCCGAGTCACCGGTGCAGCTCTTCAGGCACGCCTGGAGCCAGAATAGCCCTGAAAACCATTATGGAAACCCTTGCTGGTTCCCAAGACATGGGCTTTTCAAACGCCTCATATGTATGTGAAAACTGGACAGGAAAAAGAGAAGATTTAAGGAGAACCAATGCATCTGAAGTGTGCTGGGGATGAATATTAAAGATACTCTGCTCTGCCAGACCCCCAAATCTCATGCCCATGGAGTCAATTGTGACTCATAGTGACCCTATAGAACTGGGGACAACTGCCCCTGGAAGTCCAAGAGAGTAACTCTCTCTCCTGCAGAGTGGTTAGTGATTTCGGCACGTAACCCCAGGGCTCGTGGTCTGCAGAAGGGTGACAAAAATCTGTTCTGGAGGAACTATGGCCAGAACACTCCAAGGTGTCATCCTATCTCCTCATCAGGAAAGAGCAGCACTTGCAAAGGACATCCATGTTTGGTCAATCGGTCAGGGAAAGCTCAGGGACTTCTCCAAGAGGTGGCCCAACACAGCGGCTGCAATATACCACCTATTGTGATGGTGGTACGGGTGGGGTTTTTTTTTGTTTGCTTGTTTGTTTGTTTCTTCTGTTGTATCTCAGTTGCCATGCATCAGAACTGAATGGATAGCAGCAAACAAAATAGCAACAAGTGTGGTTTAGGGTTCACCGCTCTGTACAGAAAATCTAACTTGTGCTCCAGTTTCGAGAATCTCTACACTGAACAAAAGGATGTTCAGACCACTGAGCTCAAAGGGCCAACTTCCTGGTAGTGGAAGGGGGTGGAGAGACTGTGGAACTACATGTTCCTGTTCGGCTCCGTGCTCCTGGGTTTAGCATTGAGCCTTCCTGACCCAGCACCCATGGAAAGAATGTTGTTGCGGTGAGGGTCCGAGCAGACAGTGTCCCTGGAGTGGCCTGGCCTGACGCTGGTTGCTGGATCAGGTGTTGATTGTGCTGGATTAGACCCAGTCCCCAGTCTCACTGTTATCTGTAAAGTTCTGTAGAGGTTCTTGGCCACCTGCCACCGGTCCCAAGCTGGCATTTCTATCATGGCCCCACTGAAATGTCACCTCGCAGGACCCCCCAAGCAACCTGACCTGGGTTTGGGTTCTACAGTTGGCAAGCAGGTCAAGATGCATCTAAGGGGGGGCCAGGGACAACATGGTTTTCTTGGAGGAAAAGCACCGCTAGCATTTTTTTTTCAAACCCCAAATGTTATTTACTTAATATAGTCATCACACGTGTGCAAATGGGGACTTAATTTTAAAAACAAACAAAACAAAAATGGCACCAAAGCTTAAGATAGAATCCTACCTACACAGAAACCAGGGGAAGGGAGGACAGACGTCTACGGAAGAGAAAACAACACAGAGAGAGGGGCTGGACAGGGCGGGTCTGGCCTCTGGGTTGGAACGGTACTTTGAGTAGGTTTCCTGCAGGTATTTCTTAAAAGCTGTGTGATTTGTCCAAAGGTCAGCAGTTTGTATGTTCAAAGGGCTGTCGATGTTGGGCTCTCCCAGCAGGCTCTGGATGGAGAGGAAGATAGTCCTGACGTCATACGGGGTGGACCACTTGTCCTTCAGGATGTCCAGGCAGATGATACCCTGAGTGTCCACGTTGGGGTGGTAGCAGAGGGTGAGGAACTTCACTGTGGGCGCATTGTCAGGGGAGCCATGGGGGAACTCCAGGGAGAGCTTGTCCCTCGGGTCTTCATAGACAGTGCCGGCTGGTCCATGGACGGTCCCTACCCACTTGCAAAGGTTGTCTGATTCCGGGAAGGCAGATTCCTTTGACGCCGGATACCATGAGGGTCGCCAGCTCCTGTTGTAGCCTCTTGCCCACAGAACCCTGAGCCGTGTCCCTGCTGGGCTCAGCCCTTTTTGTGTGGCTACGATGCTAGCTGCACTGGGTCACAGTTCTGGGAGGACATCTGCTTGGTGCTGGCAGAGACAGGAACCCAGAAGGCTAGATGGAAACGACCAGCATTTTAAGACAAGCTTGACTTGAGACACCCAGCGGCTAGGTGGGGGTCCTGAGAGGAAGGGGTCCGCCGACCAGGTATTTCCAGAAACACTTAGAGGGCAAGTCATGTGTATGGGCATCAAGGCCCCAAGGCGTCAGGTGGAAGCCAACTGTGGCCAAGGTGTGGAGGCTCTGGCCCCTCCCACCACAGGAACAGGGCATTCACTAGATTGGCAGGAACCGAGGCCCTGCCACTGGGTCCATCAAATGCAGCACGGAATCTTTCTGTCAAAGTCACTCGCATTGTAAGCCATCACAGGGTATCCTCCACCCACTCTCGGACAAGCCCAAGGCCAGTGGGGAGGAGGCACCACTTCTTGAAGAGAAGCCTACCTCCCACTGCCCCATGGTGCCCTGCACAGGGCAGCCCTCCCTGCTTCCTCGCCATGGCCAGCCAGCCAGGCTCACCATCCCTCCAGGCCACTCAGCACTGCGGATGCCCAAGCTGGGGCGACAGCCAGTTTCCAGTCCCTCGGCCCTGTGTCTCTCTCTGCCTACACGGGAGCCAGGCTTGTTTCATGACTTTCCCTGAGAGCTCTCAAGGCTGGGCCTGTCATGGGTATGGGTGAGGAGGGGAGTGATAGGTGGGCCCATTTGGCCCAAACTATTTGTTCCTGAAGAGCCTCAGATGTAAATGTTTGCCACTCTGTCCAAGGAGGGTTTACAGGGAGTGTGTGTGTGTGTGTGTGTGTGTGTGTTCATTATGTAATCTACACGGATGGTTAAGGTTTTGTGTTAATTTGGCTAGGCCAAGGATCTTAGTTGTTTGGCAGTTAAGACACAGTAATCCTCCATGATGAGATCTTACATAATATAATTGTCTCTCTGAGGAAAGTTACTATGAGCAGCCACTCAACTGAAATAAGTTTCTTTGGGGGCATAACCTGCTTCCAATATATATGGTACACTGTGGAAAAGCTTGCATGCTTTTTGCTGGGTCTAGATTCTGCATCTGGCTTATCATTTGATCTCTGTTCTTTGGACTTGAGCTTGGTCTACTGTATTGTCAACCAATTCTGGGAGTTGTCAGCAGCCAGTCATCCTGGACTAATTTGCCTCTACAGCCAGAAGCCTGCTGCCTGACCTGAGGATCTTGGGTTCATCAGTTTCTGTGAGTCTGGAGAAGCCTCCAGCCTGACAGCTGATCCTCAGACTTGGAACTTGCCTCCCCTACAACTGTGTGAGCCATCTTATTGATATAAACCTCTCCGTATATATACATATATAAGTTACACCAGCTTTGCTTCTCTGGAGAACATCCTAAGACATCCACCTTGTCATTAATTTTTTTTCTTTTTAAATTTAACATACTGCAAGCTTTACAACATTGAAGTGTCTTAGGCGTCTACTCCCAGAGCTGTCAGGTCTTGGGGGAGGGACTATGCCCTGAGAGAGAAGACTTGGTGAAAGAGATCCCGGTGTCAGCATCAACTTGGAGCAGAGAGAAGCTTGGAGGCCCACGTTGGTGGCTACCTCTATGTAGCCAGTGCTTTTACAAGTATGACCATCTGTCCAACTCCTCTAAGCTATTTAATCCTCCTGGATAGACTACGAGATCAAGGTTACCCTTCTCTCCATTTGCCACAGGCAACAATGGAGGTACAGGGAGGTCATGTAACCCAACCAAGGTCGCACAACTGGCAACTGACAGGATTCAAACCCAACCACAATCTCCAGAGTCTGCTACCTCCAGATGTCACAGCAACAACCTCGTGCATGTGTGCTGCCCTCAGGGGAGAATTTTCATGGTTGATGAGCAAACCGGGTGGAGAGACTTCCCAGAGTGCCTTAGTTAGTGGTAGGGTGAGGATGGGAAGTAAGGTGCCTGCCAACCAGGCCTGGGCTCTCTGCCCTCTGCCCCAGTGCACAGCCAAGACTACACATTCAAGGGCCCGACTGCCCTACTGCTGGGGACACGACAGGAGGCAACTCACAAGCATGGTTTCCTTTCCTCTTTCCCCCCCACTTTATTGGGAGCTCTTACAGATAGAACAATCCAAGTTCAGTTAGATCAAGCATCATTGTACAATTGCTGCCACCATCATTTTCAAAACATTTTCTTTCTTCTTGCTCTCTTTGATATCAGCTCCCCTTTATCTCTGCCCTCCGCAACTACCTCCAGGAACCCTTGTTATTATATTAAACATTATTATTGTCATTACTTTTTTTTTTTTGGCCATATCTTACACCATCCAATGCATCCGTTCCCCTCCCACTCCTGGCCAAGGTGAAGAGAGACTCACTCTGCAGAGCTTTGAAAATCAGAAACCGGCGAGACCAGAGGGTGGGAGAAAGACAAAGCTGTGTACTCCCATGAAGCTTTTCAATCTCAGAAAGTCCCAGGGGCAGTTCGAAAGTGTCCTCTCCGGTCTCTGTGAGCCAGAGTGGACTCCATGGCAGGGAGGTTGCTTTCTCTTTCTTTCTCTTTGGGGGGTGAGGGGAGTGAGGGTGGGAAAGTATTTCTCAGAGCAAGTTTTCCCGTATAAAAACAGCACCAGGAAATCAACTCCAACGTCAGTGTCCAGAGCTGCAGCGTTGGACATCGTCCTGCTTTAAGGGGAGTTGCCTGACGTGCCCCACAGGGAATGGGACCGCCCCAGGGTAGGAGCTGCAGATTCAAGGCCGGAATATCACAGCACGACTGGGGTGGCGGCCGGCAAGGGGAATGCGCCTTGACGGCGCACCTGGCGTTCCACACAGCTGCAGGGGGAGCCCGCAGGCCGCTGGCCTTTGGAGCTGCGCCGGTGAATGGCTAACTCCCCATCTACTGTGGCGCATGGGCCACGGGCCACCGGGAGCCTCTGCAGCTACCAGAGCCAGGCTAGAGGCGTGTTTAAGGCAGGGCCTTACATAAAGGGGTGGCTGGGGGAGCACCTCCAGGCGTGATTAGCACAGCATCTGCCGCTCAAGGTTCCGAGCCCCGCAGACCTCCTCCCAGGCCTCCTTCCTGCTGGGGGGCATGGGGCTCCCCAAGACTGCTGCTCCTCTCCCCGCTCACACAGTGGGCAGAGCCACTGGGGCAGGGACAGAATGGTTCACGGATGTTTTTGGAGGTGCACAGGACCCAGCCCCTCACGAGCAACAAGCCAGATGCTAACTGCCTTAATAGGGGTGAGGGGCTCCAGAGGTGGGGGTGACCACCATGGGATGACTGTTGGAAGGAATGGATGAGACAAGAGGAGGGAAAGGGGTCCGAAATGATGAGGGAGGGGGGGTGGAGTGGCATTCAACTTTGTCATTTGAAAAGGCTTTTTCAAATGGGAAGGGCTGACAGAGTGTGCCAAAGCAGTGGGGCAAGCCCAGTCTGGAGTTGCTGGGGGTTCTGGTTCTGGATTGAGTAGGTCAGGTCCAGTGGGGGGGTGGGGGGTGGGGGAGCAGATCCACCTCACTGAGGCTTCCTGGGACTCGGGACCATCTGTGTGTGTAATGCTGGGGAGCCCATGTGCCTCTCACAGTCTATCCCTGTGCTGTGGCCACGGTGAGCCTGGCCAGTCCTGAGAGCAGGTGCTGCCTCTCCCCTGCAGGTGCTTCAAGGAGGTCCCCTTGAAGGTGGCGGCATGCTTGGGAAAGCACAAGGACTGTGTTGGGGCTGAGGAGAAGGAGGGCAAATCCTCCTGCAAGGTCCAGCAGCCCTGGGCCAGAGGCTCCCACAGTGACACGGGGACCCAGGGCCTCTTGAGAAGCTGGGCTTTCCTGCAAGTTGGCTTTTTTCCCTGCCGCAGGTTCTCCCCCAGTGATGCCAAAGGAAGCCCCTGTTCCCAGGCTGCCCCTCAGCCGGAGGAGACCCAGCCAGCTGAAACGCAGGTGCAAGAGCCTGGATTGGTCAGACACTGCTCGTCAGGCCGTTTTCTCCCACGGCGCGTCTGGGTGGACCTGAGCCTCACACCAAGCGTGTGAGCATGTGCCCCACCCAGACAAAACAGACAGAGCACCTCATAGTGACAAGACTTACTGTCCGAAGCTGTACATAAATCTTTACAGGAGAAGGCGCTCTCAGCTTTCCCCCACAGAGCAGCTGTTGAGTTTGAATCTCTAACCTTGTGGTTAGCATCAGAATACTTAACTCACTGCACTGCCAGGACTCCCTTCCCTACTACACAAACCCTGCTGCCATCAAGTTCTTTCTAACTCACAGTGACCCTACAGAGGGTTTGGGGACAAGATCCTTACAGAAGCAGGCAGCCCCACCTTTCTCCCTCAGAGTGGCAGTTTGAACCTCTGACCTTGTGGCTAGCAGACCAATGCTAACCCATAGTGACACCAGGGTCTCTTTCCGTACCACTAGTAAAACTGCTGGCATTGAGTTGATTCTGATGCATAAAAACCCAAGCCAAGCCCACTACCATCAAGTCTTTCCAACTCATAGCAACCCTATATAGAGTCTCTGAGGCTCTAAATCTTTACCGGAGTAGAAAGTCTCATCTTTCTGCCTCAGCATTGCTGGTGGGTTTGAACCACAGACCTTGCAGTTAGCAGCCTAACACTTACGCCACAGCACCACCTGGGCTCTTTCTGTACTCCCCAGAGAATACCAAACCCCGGAATCCATTCAGCTCTGTCCAATTTCACCTATTGCCCACTCCTAAGTCCATCACTGTGGTCAGGGGTATGCGGTCCTGCCCTCTCATTGGCCAGGCACGAGCTGCGTGCCTGCACGCCCCACCCCAGACTCTCAAGGGTGCTCCGGTGGGCTTGAGTGGTTCAGCTTCAAGAGCAGCTGAATCTGGAGGACGGTCTTGAGTTTTCTGCTTCCCCTGAAGGAAAGCAGGGAGCTTGGAGAAGAGGGCTGCCCAGCCTGGCCTGGGGGTGGGGAAACCAGTGAGAAAGGGGAGTCCTCAGAGAGAGAGGCAAGCCTGAGCGGTAGGCTTCAACGGTGGAAGGGGGCTGACAGATGAGATGGCTGTGGTAGAAAAAGTGCCCTTTGGAGAGCTTTCAGGATGGGGGTCTGTGAACGGGAACCGCTAAGCCATTTCCTCCCTCCTCCGTCTCCTGTGCAGGTGCCTTTTCCTTAATTACACCCAGAGAATGCAGGCTGGGGGACGCCGGCGATATTTATTTTCTGCGCGGAGTGCAGCACAGGTAATTCACCAGGGGCATCTTTCTTAATGAGGGAAGAAAAATGTCAGACCAGCGATCAGCCAGGACGCCCCGGCAGACTTAAAAATACCCCAAAAGAACAGGAAGAGTCGTTTGGAATTAGCTGGCGGTACAGTTCCCCCTCCGATTAGGCGCGCGGGGTGTCTCGGTGCTCACGCAGAGCCATCTGTAACCAGGGGCTTCCCGGGAGAGGACATGCCTGTGGAGGGGTATCTGTCTGTTGGGGGTGGACTCTGTCCCATTGACTACCAAAACCTGAGCTGGAGGCCCACATCTGTTCGTCCTGGGCACAGGGTCTGCCCCCTCTGCCCCTCTCTGTGAGGCCCCCTCAGCCCAGCTCTGGGGCCCACCCTCGCTTGGCTCTCATTTGTAGGGGTGGGGGGTGGGGGGGGCGGTTGCAGAAATCTCTGTCACTGGCTAACAAGCTGTAGTTCTTATTTTCCTGAAACTAGGGGCCCTGGTTTGAAACCGCCAGCCACTCCTTGGGAGAACACCAAGGCTTTCTACTCTCGTAAAGAGTGAGTCTCGGAAACCCACTGGCGCCATTCGATCCTGTCCTGTAAGGTGGCCTGTGAGTCAGACCCGACTGCGTGGCAGTGAGTTTAGCTGGGGGTCGAGCCTTTGAGGTAGGCTGTACCACAGCCCCGCCCTCTCGGCTGTGCAGACCGGAGGCGAAGACACACTCAGTCCTTCGTTGCTGTCTCCTGGGGGGCTGGCCCAGAGCCCGCTCTTGGTGGCCCTGGCTGTGTCCTGTCCACACGAGTGGGATGGGGAAGCGATGGATGGGTGGTGGAGTCCTGCTTGGATGGGACCCACACCAGGCAGCATCTATGCAAACCGGCACACCATGGGCCCTCTCCATAGGGGCAGCAGTGGGAGGATGCTGCGAAGATCAGGCTGCCTTTTTGCTCCTTCCAGGCCAACACAGGGTGAGGGATGCAAGAACGTGGATGAGGAAGCCCTGGTAGAAATGAAATGAAGGCCATCGTGACTGGTCTCATTATGAATTGAACCGTTAGGGGAGGAATCCAATCCAGGCCTCCCTGAAGCAGCAGACTGCCTGTTCAGGTGAAATACCACCATGGGGCTGCATGACCGCTGGGTCCTTGGGAGATCTGGGTGGTGGCCACCCTGCCATTCTCCACAGCTCAGAAGTAGGGACGGTGGCATCGAAAGGGAAGCAAAGCCAGGGTGGTCTGTGAGGGACAGAGACAGTGACAGAGAGGGACAGACATGGAGAGGAAGAGAGATGGAGATCAGCCCAAGGAGAGTGCCAGGGGCCCAAGAAAGAGCCCCCCAGGCTGCCTCCAACGTGGCATGGTAGAAAGAGAGGCTTGCATGGAGCAAGCCCTCAGAGAGCCCTGCCTGGTCCTTCACTACAGCCCCTCTTGTTGCAAACAGGAAATGGACTGACACACTGGATCCAGGTCACTCTCCAGTGCCCTCGAAGCTCCAGTGGGCACTGTGCCAGGTGGAAGGGGTTCTGGGCTGGCCTGACCAGTGGGTCTCAGCAGTGGCTAGGAAATGGATAATCTATCTCTTGGACACCTCTGCTTCAGAGTTTCCTCTTCACACTGCCAACCCAGACCCCAAATTGTAGTTCACCTCATCCTCTGGCCTCACAGCCCCAGGGCAGGGGACAGTCCCACTGCTATGAGACCCAAGGTGCTGCCCCTCCCCCAGGAGTTTCCCTTTGTAAACAGTCCCTTTATTACCCCCCACCCCGGAGTGATCAGAGTGAATGGGCCACCTCCTTCCTGTTGGACATCGTGGGCTTGGAGCCTTCAGGGAGCACAGGGCCCCCATGTGAAGGGAGACGCCCTTGGCTCTGACATGAGTGGCCTGGACACTCCTCCAAGGTCAAAGGCAGGTGGGCAGGCCCTCTATGGAGTCCAGCAGGCTCTCTTCTGGAAGGTTACAACCAGCAGAGACTCGGAGGAAGGCTCAGCCCCTTTACACACCTGGACATCTCTACCTGGCTGTTAGACAAGCACATCCCCAAACTCCATGGCCACTGTCCCCAGAGGACAGCCCTCAGATAAATAAATAAAGCCTCCACTGGCTTGTGGGCTGGTGTCCGGGTCTATTTTTAGAATGTAGGACAATTTCCTCCCAGAATAGACAGACGCACTAATCCAGGAGGGAAGTCTGGGAGAGATGACGACGTGGGGCTTAGAAATGAATTAGCCGTGAGTATATTATTTGAAGAAATGTTGAACAGCTAGGCAAATATTTAATGCTGTAGAGCTGGAGCTGACATCTTCCAAGGCAAAGCGGCTGGCTCCTGGAGATGCCCCTCCCCATCCGTGTACCTGGCTGTCACGCCTGGTTTGCAGGACACCTGTGGCTGCTCTCTGCTCAGAATTCCTTATGGCTGCATATCTGGTAGCAGTGGTTCAGTGGTAGAAGACCCACCTTCCATGCTGTAGACCAGGGTTCAATTCCCAGCCAATGAACTTTTGTACAGTCACCAACTCATCTGTCAGTGTGGGCTTGTGTGTTGGTATGATGCTGAACAGGTTTCAGCAGAGCATTCCAACTAAGAATGCTAGGAAGACAGACTTGGCAATCTACTACTAAAAACCTCAGCCAATGAAAACCCTGCGGATCACAACAGTAGGGTCCTGTTGGGCCTGGAGCCAACTCAACAGCCTGATGGGATTATGTGTGTGTGTGCGCCCGCGCGCGCACGCGCGCGCGCATAGCCTGGCCAGGTCTCAGAGATGATGCTCAACATGAGTGGACCCCATCATCTTTCCCCTTAAACACCTCATTATCCTACTGAACGAATGGGATCTTTGATGCTTCAGTGGGACTTGTTTGGGGAAGCAGTCAGGAAGTATGACCCCTGATTTGTGCCCCTGTGGGAGGTGCCCACGAAAGCAGGTAGGTGCCAACGCTGGGGCTGAGTCTCCCCAGGTTTTGGCTGCAGCAGAGACTGCGTATTGCTCCTCTGGGAGCTTAGAGGCAGGAGGCCCAGGTGCAGAGGGGGACAGGCACCATCTTCACATCAGATTGCATGCGGCTGTGATAGTAAAGTTTTCTGTCAACTTGGCTGGGCCGGGATTCTCAGAGGCTTGGCAGTTGAGGCCTCACCCATGATGACCTAACATAATATAATCACCTCCATGACAGGATCTTCTGATCTGTTGTGAGCAGCCAAGCAGGGGTGGGAAGATTCAGGTGGAGTGCACCCCATGCTCAGGTTACAGGCCTGTGATGCTTCCTCCCGAGGGTAGCCTCCTTCAATGGAAGCCGACAATGTGGAGAGCTGCTTCATGTCTTGCTAACTGGGACTCTGCATCTGGCTTACCAACCTCTGGACTGAAGCCAACAACCTGCCATATTGTCTGCCAACCCTGGGAGCCAGTAGAACCTGCCGTCTGACCTGCTGACCTTGGCTTCATCTGCCTTTGTATCTACTAGCCATGGTCATTCTGCTTCTTACTTCACTAGGCCAGGCAGGTACTCACACCAAGAAAAGCCTCTGCTTCTACAACTGGATGAGCCATTGCTGAATATCAATAGCTATCTATCTATATCTATCTATCTATCTATCTATCTACCTACCTACCTAGCTACCTAGCTACCTACCTACCTATCTATCTATCTACCTATCTATCATCTATCTATCTATCTATCTACCTACCTATCTATCTATCATCTATCTATCTACCTACCTATTATCTATCTATCTATCTATCTATCTATCTATCTATCTATCTATCTGTCTATCTATATGAAACCGGTTTTGCGTCTCTAGAGAACCCAGCCTAACACACCAGGCAATAGGTCCCCACTCCTGGTGACTGCATGTATGTCAGAAGAGGGCTGTGCGCCAACGGATTCCCAATGACCGTCTTTCCAAACAGAGTTCTCCAGTCCTTCCTTCACAGATACCCCTTGATTGGAATTGGTTAGATGGAGTGAAACTCTTACCTGTCGACGCCATCCAGGGACTCCTCCATTTACAACCTGGGAACCAGAGAGTCCATGAGGCAGCAGCCTCACACTACGGAGTGGTTGGGCTGAGCCAGTGACTGGCCGTCTGAGATGTGCTCCGCTGACTGGCCTGTGAGATTTGGGAAGAGCAACATGGCTTGGGGCTTTACCTGTGTCCACCCAGATAGTCCTTGCAAAGGCCCACACACGAACTTCGGTCACCCCTGAACTTCTGTCCATCCTACTTTACAGTTGAGAAAACTGAGACTCTGGTGAAAGACCCTGACACCAATCCTCCAGCCGACGCCTGGTGAACCTAGCCCCGCCCCCAGGCTATGGCACCAAATCCCAGGCATCACTGCCTCACTGCCTTCCTTGGGTCCTGCTGCTACAGCAGTCTGGCTGAGGGGTCCCAAAGCGTCAGATGGCAGGGATGAGGGCTGGGTCAGGGATCGCTGAACTCGGGCCGCCTCCCCTGGCCCCGCCTCATCATGCTGCCCCGAGTGCCGCCACCAGATGGCAGCAGACGCCTTACGATCGCCCGCTGTGGGAGCTCGTGGCCCGGACCCAGTGCGGATCGGAGCCCACCGGCAAGCCGACCCCGACCCCGACCCCGGGAAGCTGGACCATCACTGCAGCCCACCGCCCCCAGGCCGCCTGCCTGCGCCTCCGCTGCAGGAAGGGGGTCCTGGGAGTCCGCCGCGCCGTTGCCTCCTGCTGTTCCTGGAGAAGGGATGCTGATTGGCTTGGGCTGCAGGGAGGGGAGCACGGAGCAATCAGCCCCCTCCTAGAAGGGGTGAGAGGTAGCGCCTGGAGGGGAGACCCTGAGAGAAAGGCAGGCCCGCCTCACACACATCTCACTTGGTCTCTGCCTGGCCCTGTGAAGAGGGGGGTGGCAGGGGGAATAGACCCTGGGTGGCCCAGAGCTTGGGAGACCCCACTGCACGCCATCCTCCCTGGCCATGGGTGGAACGCCCCTGCTCCCACCTCCACGCTCTTGGAAGTCTGCGTTCAGGGGGCACACAAGACAAGCTGCAGGGTCAGAAGGACCTGGGGGCGCTGATGGGGAGCTGGCATGCCTTTGGCAGGGGTAGGGGCGTCAGAACTAGGGACCTGTGAGTTGGCATTTGTGCCCTATCCGTGGGAAACAGGGGTGGGGACACTGGCACCCATGAGGTTAATGGGGGAGCGAGGGGGGTGTAAGACACAGAAAAAATTCAAGCAAGTTCTGCGCTGCCCTGCCCTGCCCTGCACTCGCCTTTAAGAAGCTAAAAATAAAGTGTCTCAAAGTGAACGTTATTAAAGCCACTAATAAGAATGACCTTCTCTGGCCCGGCCATAAAACGCCCACCTGGCCTCCATCTTCCCTGCACCCCGGCCGCCCACAGATCGCTCCAGATGCCAGGAACAGGCAGAGGCGGACCTCGCCCGGGGAAGAGCAAGAGGAGCAGGTCTCTGGGCAGGGACAGAGCGCCTGCTATGCGCACAGTGCTGTTCCCGTGGTCGTGCAGGGCTCCTTTGTCTAGTTCACGTGCTGGGGGCTCGCTGCAAGGGCAGCAGTTGGAAACCACCAGGGAGGAAGACGAGGCTTTTATTCCCAGCAAGGGTTACCGTCTCAGAAACCCAGAGGCAGTTCGACCCTTCCTCTCGGGTCACCCTGAGTCGGAATGAACTTCATGGCAGTGTGTTTGGTTTGGTTTGGGTCTTTACGAAGGAGCCTGGGTCTGGTGCTTAGGCATTGGGCCGCTAACTGGAAGGTCAGCAGTCACCAGCTGCCACTCTGAGAGAAAGACATAGGCTTTCTACTTGTCAAGAGCCAAAGTCCTTTTCCAAACAAGCAGGCATCTAAGTGAGGTGTCAACTAAGTCCACATGGAAGAAGCACACCAACATCAGTGATCCAAGGATTGTAAATCGTATAGTCCAAAGCTGAAGGGGGAATAGTATCAGAGCCTGAATGGTGAGATTCTGGTTTGCAGAAGGCTAGGGATGACAGTGGGAGCCCAAGATACATTTGCGAGATCTACACAAGAATTAGCCTCCGATGATTTCCCTCTCTCCATAATGGAGGGATGGGAATAACCCGGTTCCTGAACAGGGTATAGGAGAGATGACTATCAGAGATCACCACGATAAACCTGACGTGAATGGTTACAGCCTTGTCACTTGATCCCTCTAATACAGGTGGGGCTTAATCTGGTTTTCAACATGTTTGTTTTTGGTTGTCCATATTGGGGGTTATCTCAGGTGCATTTTGTCATTGTGGGTAGCTCTCTTAAATTTTTATTATATGTTTTTCAGTATATTAAACCTGAGATTGATGAACCTATAAAGACAGAAATTAGAATAATGGTTCGGGGGGGTGGGGTAGAGTGGGGATGGGGGTGGTAGAGGGGAGCTAATATCAAGGAGTTCAATAAAGAAGACAATGTTTGAAAACAGATTGTGGTAGCAATTGTATAACGGTGCTTGATGTGATTGAACTGTGGAATAATATGATATCTGTATTAGCTCCCAATAAGATGGTTTTAGGGAAAAAAGAAAATGACAATCCTGGAAGCCCACACTTCCCAAGTTCTACCCTGAGGGATCATGAGTTGGAATTGGCTAGATGGCAGGGAGTTTGGGGTTCTGTTTTTCAGGCAAATCATAAAAGCAAAGAAGTAACGGTATCGACAGTGAAGGGAAGTGAGAAAACAGTGCATCAATGGCCCCTGGGCGGCGTGGGAGACAGGACTTGGGAAACAACCGCCTCCAGCTCCCTCTGGGTCCCACCCCCAACTCCTTCTGTGATTGGTCAAGTCGCTTCACCTCGCTGAGCTGGCCTGAAGCAGCCATGAACTAAGTGGATTCCCAGAGGATAAGGCTCACGCACAGAGGGCCGTGGTGTGAACCGGAAGGGCGCCCGGGCCAGGAGCTGGGGTTGTCAAGATTTCAGGACTCATGGCCGTGTTCTCAGAGTCTGGGGGCAGCAGGGTCTACTGTAATGCTAACCCCACCACCCTGTGCTGCCTGCCCACCTAGTCACACATCGCAGGCACCCACGGGCACCGGAGTCACAGCCCAGCCCGATCTCATTCCCCAGACTTCCTTGATTCCTACAAACAGGGCAAACCACCCAAGAGAAAAAGGGCAAAGATCAGGACCAGACAATTGCCAGGAGAAAGGTGGCAGATGTCCCATAAACAGGCAGGAAGATTCGACATTTAAATGAGAACAGCATCCAGATGGTGCCAAATATCCAAGTGGGATCAGCATTTGGTGCTGGAAGTAGAGACGTCATGGCCGACGGAAGGGTGGACTGCTACAAGAAGCAACCGGGCATTCTCTGTCTATTACTATTACCAACGTCTGTGGCAAATTCCTTACCTCTGTCCCAAAGGGGGTGCTTGCCCATTCAACTGTGGCCCCACTCTCCAGGAAAAGTTTCCCAGGCTGGTGGCTTGGTGGGTGACAGGCCAGGGGAAAGAGTAAAGGGCAGTAAGTGATCTAAGCCAAGACATTAGCCCTGGGGCCACAAGCCAATGGCTTCTGGAAACTGTGTCTCCCTGTGGTGGGCAGCCCTCTCCCTCAGATGCCTGCTGTGGCTTCAATGCAACAGGGAGGTTCCCAAATGGTCCCAGCCTCCCCCAGGCCACATGGTGGTACCAGGAGCGAGAGCAGCCATGAGCGTGTCCTTTGGCCACCTCATGAGACGGAAGGGGCCTGTGTGGGTCCAGGAGGCCACAGTGTCATGAAGTTTGGAATGGACCCCTGACCAAGAACTACACCTCTCCGAGGATCCCCCACTCAAAGTCACACTCCGAAGACACAAACTCTAAATTAGCGAAGATTCGTGGCCGTGTGAAAGTAAATGCAGTCTCGCAGGAAGCCACGGTTTTCTCTTCTGCACTTGAGCATCATGGCTGCAGCACAGATGTCTCCTTGGCCCAGCAACTCTCTCTGCAGACGATACGGAAACGTGGGTGTCGGCCTGGGGAGATCTGTGCTAGCAGGTGCCCTGCCACACCGAGTGCCAGGCAAGAGCCTGGGAGTGACCGAGGGGTCGTCAGTGTGGACACGTCCATTAAGGCTCCATGGAGGTGTACAACGTGATATGTAAATGAAGATGCTGTATTATAATTTTTTAAGGTTTTGCTAAGATTCTTAGCCTTCCAGATCAACATGCCAAAATCAATTGTGTTTTCTCAACGCCCTCAATGAATTAGGGATAGAAGTAAAAGGAAATCCAAGCACACTGTTCACCATCCAGAATAAATTTACAAAGACAGTCTCAACATTTGTAAGGACAAACTGTGTGTGTGTGTGTGTGTGTGTGTGTGTGTGTGTGTGTGATAGGCGTCAATGCATCGGCTCCGATTCATAGTAGCCCGATGTACAACAGAACGAAACACTGCCCTATGTCCGTCCATCTTGTTCAGGGTCTTCCACTTTGTCGCTGCCCCTCTCCTTTATCAAGCATGCTCTTTTTATCCCAGAGACCGGTCCTTCCCTCCATGAGATGCAGTCCAGCCATCTTCTAAGGAGCATTCCTGCTGCCCAGCTTCTGTGACAGGTTTGCTTGTTCTTCTGCAAGACAACTGTGAGATCTTCTTAAAGAAGCTAAAGGGCATTATGTGTAAAATGTACCAGGATTCTGGGTAAGAAGATTTGCTACAATAAAATATCAATTCTTCCCAAAATAGTATTACAAGTAATTGAAATGACTTTTTTTTCCTTCTTTTTTATGCCTCTCATCTGTTTCATTTTCTTCTCTTAACGCATTAGCCAATCCTTCCTTTGGAGCGATGTGGAATTGTAGGCTCCCTTCCTGTTGGCAGTGAGCCCTGGAGGCCTAGTGGTTACGAACTGGGCTGCTAACTGCAAGGTCAACAGTTCAAAACCACCAGCTGTTCCGAGGGAGAAAGATGGGGCTTTCTACTCTAGTAAAGAGTTACAGTCTCAGAAACTCACCGGGGCCATTCTACCCTGTCCTATAGGGTCACTATGAGTCAGCATCAGCTTGATGACAGCGAGCTTAGTTGTCA